TTTTTTAAACAGATAAAGCTTTATTTTGGTGGTATTTATTCACCGCTGGGATTTTTATTTTTTTTGCTATGTAAATGAAAAAGTCCAAAAATTTTGAAAAAAAGTGTTTTTTTTATAAAATTTTGCAAATAAATAATATTTCATCATAAATCTTTGCTAAAATTTATTCCGTTATCTTTTTAGTAAAAAAAAAAAAATCCAAATTAGTTTATAACAAAAATTATTATTTTTAAACATTTTTTTTTTACATTTTTATTTTATTTTTTTATATTATTTTTATTTTTATTTATTTTTTTACATACTGTCACCCTAGCAGTACAGTGTCACCATGGTGACACTGTACTACTTGTGGGGGGTGATGAAGATTTTTTTTTTTTTTTTTTTACACATTGCTTTTACACCCATATAGGATGTAAAAGCAATCATTTCTCTTTCTCTCTGTGTGCATTCATGCACTCATTGAGAAGTACTGACTGAGCTGTGATTGGTCACAGCTTGTCATATGGTACAAGCCTGTTGTGAATAGGCTTGTACCATGTGACCTCTGTGATCATTCACAGATTTCACACGTAGTAAGCAATGATGTCACAAGTGACATCTTGCTTACTACTTTGCATGTGATCACTGATTGGCCAATCAGTGATCACATGATCGGGACCTCGTACAGAGGTCCCGTCCGACGATCGGTGTTTCACTGTGTCCGGAGGACACAGCGGGCATCGGATCGCGGTGCTGCGTGCTCCCAGGGAGCACGCGCAAGCAGGGCGCGGGGAGGCCGTTCATAGACGGCCACCCGACCCTGCACTGCAACCGTCCGGCCATTTATATGCAACGGCCGGTCGGGAAGTGGTTAATTTCCAGTGTAAAAAGGAAAAAAAAGATCCGCCTTTAACAACTCCACCCATCATAAATTTAATCCCCAATGGTCTCGCTCGCTACAGAACCCAAACTGTTCTGTAAAATGCTGATAACCTAACTATAAACTATCCTAACCACTAAACTTAGACTGGATGCATCCATCCTTTCGCTACCTATCCCCCCCCCCCTTACCCTCCTTCTTCTTGTTTTACATCCCTCTCTGACCACCTACACATCTCAACATGGTTCAAATTAAAACCAAGAATACCTCACACATCAATGTCATACACACCATTATCAGCCCCAGCCAACTGGTGAGGAACACAACCAATACCATATTGTATTACCATGTATGTGGATGAACCGTATACCTATACCCTGTTATGTCATAAAAATTCTCCAATAAAAATTATTGAAATTAAGAGCGGTGATATCCCCTTCAATTATGTGCGTTTAAGGCAGCAGGATCCCCTCCAGGTATGTATAGGTGTGATACAGCCAACTCACATTGTAATCAAGGTAAAAACATAAGAGATCTTCCATAGTGTGAAACCGTTTAATTAAATATAGAAATCAATTTGAGCCAAATGCCCACTCACTTTTCATAAAACAAACTCAAGCATTAAAACCACATGCTATGTGTGTACTTGCTTGGGTTTAAGTGTAGCAAGATGGTATCCGCACCGGAAATAAGTCACCATGTTCCTACGCGTTACGTTCTGTTATCACGTGACTTCCTCAGGGTAACATTATTGGTGACATTCGGCTTTATATAGGGAAGCTAGATGTCAATCACAGCTCGGAGGCGGACCTTTTTGGTGTGGTCCGATGACATTGACAGACCTACCCACTGCTCTTCCTCCCCAGCAAATAATCCGGCAACCAATGAATATTAGAAAAAACTCCAGCTGACCCAAATATTCTATTTATCAATACCTACTTGGCCAAAAACTGGATCTATTATTAACTACAGTGGGGGTATAAAATACCTAACTGCATAAGGTATACCATACAGCAGCTATTTCAATGTAGTATATATCTAACTACATAGGTATACTGTACGACGGCCATTTTATTGGGGTCCCATATGAATACCAATATCTAATAGATATATATTACTATTGAGAGATCACCAGTGGCTAATAAAGAGATAAATAATATCTATACTATCAAACCCGCAGCAAGAATAACCTAAAAAACTACTATAACTTTATTAGTGAATATTAAAACAAATATATAAATATATATTCCAAATTAACCTATAAACGTATTAAAAACCATTTTATTAAGAGTAATATTAAAATTAATGTTAAAAATAATGTTAAAATATAAGATTTATTTTATATGGCTAACTATATTTAATTAACACTTATATACATATAATTACCATTTAAAACTATTTCCTAAATAAATGAGAGGGGGAAAAACCCTAATAACTGATCTAACGTATGATAAAATATTAAATCATAAGCCCCTTACTTAATACTACTAAAAACATATTCCTAAAAAATTCTATTTACCATAAACTCATGAAGGAATTACTAAATCAAATGCATTTATAAGTGCCTATTTAAGATTGCCCAATATGTCATGAAGAACTAAAGGATAACTCGCTCCCTGTACCCCATGCAAAAACAATTGTGCATTGGTGCACAATATATATATATATATATATATATATATATATATATATATATATATATATATATATATATAACTATGTATAAAAAAATAAATATACTAAAATAACAGTCCGGTATTTTAAATATTCACATCCTTCAGGTATAAACAGGTAAAATTTATAAATTAAAATAGGAAAGGATAATAATTTAAACCCACATACAGTGAGGAACAGAAGTATTTGAACACCCTGCGATTTTGCAAGTTCTCCCACTTAGAAATCATGGAGGGGTCTGAAATTCACATTGTAGGTGCATTCCCACTCTGAGAGACAGAATTAAAAAAAAAAAATTCAGGAAATCAGATTGTATGATTTTTAAAGAATTTATTTGTCTTGCACTGCTGACCATAAGTATTTGAACACCTGAGAAAATCAGTGTTAATATTTTGGTACAGAAGCCTTTGTTTGCAATTACAGAGGTCAAACGTTTCCTGTAGTTCTTGACAAGGTTTGCACACACTGCAACAGGGATTTTGGCCCACTCCTCCACACAGATCTCCTCTAGATCTGTCAGGTTTCGGGGCTGTCGCTGAGCAACACGGTGTTTCAGCTCCCTCCAAAGATGTTCTATTGGATTTAGGTCTGGAGACTGGCTAGGCTACTCCAGAACCTTGATATGTTTTTTACGGAGCCACTCCATGATTATCCTGGCTGTGTGCTTTGGGTCGTTGTCATGTTGGAAGACCCAGCCACGACCCATCTTCAATGCTCTGACTGAGGGAAGGAGGTTGTTGCTCAAAATCTCACAATAAATGGCCCCATTCATCCTCTCCTCAATACAGTGCAGTCGTCCGGTCCCCTTCGCAGAAAAGCACCCCCAAAGCATGATGTTACCACCCCCATGCTTCACAGTAGGGATGGTGGTCTTGGGATGCAACTCATCCTTCTTTTTCCTCCAAACACGACGAGTGAAGTTTAGACCAAAAAGTTCTACTTTGGTCTCATCTGACCACATGACTTTCTCCCATGCCTCCTCTGGATCATCCAGATGGTCATTGGCAAACTTCAGACGGGCCTGGACATGTGATGACTTGAGCAGGGGAACCTTCCGTGCAATGCATGTGTCAGGGATCCAGGTATGACCAGAGATGTGTGGACTGACACAAGGAAACGCAGGCTTCAAGTAAAGTGTAAACAATATAATTTATTAAAGGCTATACAATACACAAACGCATTGCAAACAAACCAAACCTAAACTAATATAAATATGTACAACGAAGTGCAAACAAAACTCAAACCTTAACTGATATAAATATGTATGGAGCACAAACGTAGTCAGGCAGGCCGGGTCGGTAGCTAACGGGCAGACAAGGTACAAAGGAGCAGGCAGAAGAGTGGTCAGGAATAGCCAGGGTCGGTACGGGCAGAGTTCAAGCAGTGTCAGAGTCCAGCAGGAGCGTCAGGCAGGCAGGATACAGGGCACAAGGGAGCAATACACCAAGGCACTGACTGCAGGCCTGGTCCTGCTTTAATACACCTCCTGCAATCAGCCTCAGGTGATGGCCTGATTGCAGGAGTGGGACACTGGCTGCTGAGAGCACCCGCAGGCCAGCACTGGTACTGCAGCCCACAAGGCAGGTAAGCCCCAGCACTACCAGAGATAAGACCATTCCTGACAGCATGATTTGAAACCAATTCAGTGTAGTGTTCTACCGACAGTGACCTTTGAAACTGTGGTCCCAGTTCTCTTCATGTCATTGACCAGCTCCTCCCTTGTAGTTCTGAGCCCCACAAGGTGAGATCTTGCATGGAGCCCCAGTCCGAGGGAGACTGACAGTCGTCTTTAGCCTCTTCCATTTTCTAACAATTGCTCCAACAGTTGATCTAATTTCACCAAGCTGCTTGGTAGTTGTCCCGTAGCCCTTTCCAGCCTTGTGGAGGTCCACAATTTTGTCTCTGGTGTCTTTTGACAGCTCTTTGCCCATGGTAGTAGTTGGTGTCTGACTGACTGTGGGGTGGACAGGTGTCTTTAAAGAGCTCAGACAGGTGTACTAAGTTAGATTAATGAGTGGAGTAGAGGTGGTGTCAGGGAACAGAAGATCGCCACGGCGCACAAATCTGCACATGCGTAGGATCCCGACAAGACATACAGGCAGGCGGGCACTAGGACCCAGGCGCGCCTGTCACCAATGACTGCGCCGGCAGGCACTAGGACCCAGGCGCCGGGCGGGCTATTTAAACCAGCTCTTGCAATGCTCACATTGCCGTATGGTCTTGTTCCTGTTTATCCTGTTCCTATGAGAGTATCTTGTTGTTGCCGTACCCTGCCTGATCCTGATTACTGCTGACCGTCTCCTGCCCTGCCTCCTGGTTCGTTTGACCATTCTTCTGCCTGTCCCCGATTATCTGATCTCCTGCTGCTGAACCTGGCTTGTGACCCGATGATTCTCTGCCTGCTGCTCTGTACCGCTCTGCCTCCACTGTTACCGACCCAGCCTGTCTGACTCCACTATTATTCCAGTGTGTTCCGTCCATCCATCCTGCATGGATCCATCCGTTGCGGTCCGGGCCTGCTCTGCCTCTTCACATCAGGCTCTCATCCTGCTACGTGCCACTGGCGGTTCCCTCTACCACAGCTGGGTGTACCCAGGGGCCGTGACTGCGTCTCAGTCTGCTCCAAGTCCATCCCCACCATCAGGGGCTCTGGTGAACAAGCAGATTGGGGCTCAGACTCCGCGCCCTGGGGAAATCTGGTCTGTGGAGCTCTAGAGCTACCGTCGGTAGGTACCTGACAGGTGGACATTTTAAAGGCACAGTAACAGGTCTTTGAGAGCCAGAATTCTTGCTGTTTCTTAGGTGTTCAAATACTTATGTGCAGCAGTGCAAGACAAATAATTTCTTTTAAAATCATACAATGTGATTTCCTGAATTTTTTCTCTGTCTCTCAGAGTGGAAATGCACCTACAATGTGAATTTCAGACCCCTCCATGATTTCAAAGTGGGAGAACTTGCAAAATCGCAAGGTGTTCAAATACTTCTGTTCCTCACTGTATATTAATAATCACAAATAAAACAATTAAGATCAAATTCCACATTTAAACCTCTAGGTGCCTGTGTTGGCATGGGGAAAATACATCTTGATTCCGCTTGACTAAGTGATCGGACTCTATTACTTGCACTCCAATGCTTCCTGTATTTTTCTATCCCCCAATACATTAAAGAGGAGGGGTCCCTATTGTATGTTGCAAAATGTTTACAGACACTATGTTTTGGGAAACCTTTTTTAATATTCTGAACATGTTCCCAAAGGCGTTTCCATAAAGGTCTCTTGGTCCTTCCAACGTATTGAAGAATGCATTACATTGTAATGCATATACAACACCTTCTGTTCTACACGAAATAAAGTCTTTTATATTATATTCAACTCAATCACTATGAGCGGAAAATTTACTATGTTCGGAATTTTGCCCTTTGGTAGCTTTACAGTAATAACATGTTTTACATGGAAAAAAACCTTTTTGGCCTAAAAATGTGACCTGTTTATGCATTATAGGGGGATCCAAAACAATTTATTTCTTAGTGTGGGGGCCTGTATATAAATACATTTTGGATTCTCTGGTAATAAACTAGTTAAAACAGAATCTGCCTTAAGAAGAGGCCAGTGTCTTTTAAAAATGTTTTCTATTTTTTTACACCCTGTTCCAAATTATTATGCAAATTATATTTTTCTCATTTACCTAAATAATTGATGTAAATAACATTCAGCATAATTCTCATGTTATCAACTATTAAAAGTACAATTCACATTTTTTGAACAAACCTCCTAATGATAACAGTATTTTTTTTTAAACATAAAAAACTTACAATGCACTGTTCCAAATTATTACGCACAGTAAGTTTCAAAACACTTTATAGGTTGTGTACATTTTAACATAGGACCCCTTATTTGATAGCAGCTTCAAGTCTTGCATCCATTGAACTTGTGAGTTTTTGGACAGTTTCTGCTTGAATTTGTTTGCAAGATGTCAGAATAGCCTCCCAGAGCTGCTGTTTGGATATAAACTGCCTCCCACCCTCATAGATCTTTTGCTTGAGGATGCTGCAAAAAGGTTCTCAATAGGATTGAGGTCTGGGGAGGATGGTGGAGGCCACGCCATGACTTTCTCTCCTTTTTATCCCCATAGCAGCCATTGATGCAGAGGTATTCTTTGCAGCATGAGATGGTGCATTGTCATGCATGAAGATGATTTTATTATGGAAAGCATAGTTCTTCCTTCTGTACCAGGGAATAAAGTGGTCAGTCATAAACTCCACATACTTTGCAGAGGTCATCTTTACACCTTCGGGGACCCTAAAGGGGGTCTACCAGCTCTGTTCCCCGGATTCTGGCCCAAAACATGACTCCACCACCGCCTTGCTGACGTCGCAGCCTTGTTGGAACAGGGTGGCCATCCACCAACCATCCACTACTCCATCCATCTGGACCATCCAGGGTTGCACGGCACTCATCAGTGAACAGGACTGTTTGAAAATTAGTCTTCATGTATTTTTCTGCCCAATGCAGCCGTTTTTGCTTGTGAGCATTGGTTAGTGGTGGCCGAATAGAAGGTTTATGCACAGTTGCAAGACTCTGGAGGACTCTACACCTTGATGTCCGTGGGACTCCAGAGGCACCAGCAACTTCAAATATCTTTTTGCTGCTATGTAATGGTATTTTAGCAGCTGCTCTCTTGATCCGATGCATGGATCTCGCAGAAATCTTCCTCAATGTGCCTTTATCTGCACAAACCCGTCTGTGCTCTGGATCAGCCACAAATCTCTTAATAGTGTGATGATCACGTTTAAGTTTTCTAATGTTTTCATACCTCGTCCAAGGCATTATTATTATTATTACATCCAGATTATATAGCGCCAAAGGGTTTGCTCAGTGCTGTACAATAGAGGGGGGGACAATACATGAAACAGTACAGCAACTACAAACAGCACACGAGGGGTTAGAGGGCCCTACTCTTTCGAGCGTACAATCTAGGAGGGAGGGGGGGTAGTGGTACAGGAGTAAGTGGCTGTGGGGGATGGAGTGGTAGGAGGAATGAAGGAGAACGGCAGTTAGGTGAGGGCGCGGTAGGCTTTCCTGAAGAGGTGGGTTTTCAGGGAGCGCCTGAAGGTGAGGAGGGAAGGTGACAGTCTGATGGATTGGGGTAGTGAGTTCCAGAGGATGGGGGAGGACCTGGATAAGTCTTGCAGACGTGCGTGGGAGGAGGAGACCAGGGGGCAAGATAGAAGGAGGTCCTGTGAAGAGCGAAGGGTAAGGGTGGGGTGATACCTGGGAATCAGGTTAGTGAGGTAGTTAGGGACAGTGTTGTGAATGGCTTTGTAGGTCAGAGTGAGTAGTTTGAATTTGATGCGTTGGGCGATAGGGAGCCAGAGGAGGGATAGGCAGAGGGGGGTGGCAGAGGTGGAGCGGTTGGTGAGGTGGATGAGTCTAGCCGCTGAGTTCAGGATGGTCTGAAGTGGGGAGAGCCTGCACTGGGGTAGGCCGGTGAGAAGGGAGTTGCAGTAGTTGAGGCGTGAGATAATCAGGGAGTGTACGAGTATTTTAGTGGTGTCTGGGGTAAGGAAGGTGCGTATTTTGGCGATGTTGCGAAGGTGGAGCCTGCATGTGTTTGTAAGTGATTTGATATGAGGTTGGAAGGAGAGGTTTGAGTCCAGAATGACGCCAAGGACTTTGACTTGTGGGGCGGGATTGATGGTGGTATTGTTGGTAGTGATGGATAGGATGGGGGGGGGGCGCGGGCAGGGGGGAAGACGAGAAGCTCGGTTTTGGAGAGGTTAAGCTTGAGGAAATGGAGCGACATCCAGTCAGAGATGTCGTTTAGGAGGTGAGTGATGCGAGCGGAGAATGTGGGGGTGAGGTGGGGGGTGGAGAGGTAAATTTGAGTGTCATCAGGGTAGAGATGGTAGTTGAAGCCGTGGGAGTGTATAAGTTTGCCAAGGGAGGAGGTGTAGATGGAGAAGAGAAGGGGTCCAAGGACAGAGCCCTGGGGGACCCCAACAGAGAGGGGGAGGGAAGGGGAGGTGGCACCGTTGTAGGAAACGCTGAAGGAGCGCCGGGATAGGTAAGAGGAGAACCAGGAGAGAGCGGTGTCTCTGATGCAAAGGGAGAGTAGTTTATTAAGGAGGAGGGGGTGGTCAACTGTGTCAAAGGCCACGGAGAGGTCCAGGAGGAGGAGGACAGAGTAGTCGGCTTTGGTGGTTAGTAGGTCGTTGGTGATTTTGAGGAGGGCGGTTTCGGTGGAGTGTAGGGGGCGGAAGCAGGACTGTATAGAACTATTTCACTCTTTTCGGCAGCAGAGAGATCCTTTTTCTTCCCCATATTGCTTGAAAATGGTGCTCTGCTTAATAATGTGGAACACCCTCCTTTAGTAGTTTTTCCTTAAATTGGGCTCACCTGCCAATCTAATTATCACAGGTGTCCGATATTGTTTTCAGTGATAGAAGGGCCCTGACACACAATGCCATCCATGAGTTAAACTGAAAAACAAAATATTGAATCTTTGTGACACTTCAATAGAATTTCCATAATAATTTGGAACAGGGTGTATAATGTACTGTAATTTTCGCTCCATAAGACACACTTTTTTCCCCCCCACAAAAGGGGGGAAAATGTCAGTGCATCTTATGGAGCGAATATGGAGTGGCCGGTCCGGTATTTCCACCGCCGTTGTGTCAGAATACCAGGCCGGCCGCTCAGCTCTTTTCTGCAGCAGGACCTTACCTGTTCCTCGGTCCAGCACTGCACAGTCTTCACGCTCCGGCTTCTTTAGTGTGGGCTCTCGGCTGTGACAGCCGGGTGCCCAGTGTGCATGCGCGAGAAGCGCTGCGCTTTGTGAATGGTACAGCGTCTTCTTGGACACATGACAGGTACCAGAAGACGCCGGACCAATCACAAACGCAGCGTTTCTCGCGCATGCGCTCTCAGCCGGGTGCCCACACTAAAGGGAGGGCAACTCTGGAAGTGGGAGCGGGTACCTGTCAAATTTGGCACCCACTCCCCCTCCCTCCCCAAAGGTCAGCAGTCTCTTAGTCATCCCCTGCACTGTCCACAGTCTCTGGTCATCCCTTGTACTGTCTGCAGTCTCTGGTTATCCCCTGTACGGTCCGCAGTCTCTGGTCATCCCCTACTCTGTCCGCAGTCTCTGGTCATCCCCTACTCTGTCTGCAGTCTCTGGTCATCCCCTACTCTGTCTGCAGTCTCTGGTCATCCCCTGCACTGTCCGCAGTCTCTTGGTCATCCCCTGTACTGTCCGCAGTCTCTTGGTCATCCTATATACTGTCCGCAGTCTCTTGCTCATCCCCTATACTGTCCGCAGTCTCTGGTCATCCCCTGTACTGTCCGCAGTCTGTGGTCATCTCCTGTACTGTGTCCGCAGTCTGTGGTCATCTCCTGTACTGTGACCGCAGTCTCTGGTCATCTCCTGTACTGTGACCGCAGTCTCTGGTCATCTCCTGTACTGTGACCGCAGTCTCTGGTCATCTCCTGTACTGTGACCGCAGTCTCTGGTCATCTCCTGTAGTATGTCCACAGTCTCTGGTCATGTCCTGTACTGTCCGCAGTCTCTTGCTCATCCCCTATACTGTCCGCAGTCTCTGGTCATCCCCTGTACTGTCCGCAGTCTGTGGTCATCTCCTGTACTGTGTCCGCAGTCTGTGGTCATCTCCTGTACTGTGACCGTAGTCTTTGGTCATCTCCTGTACTGTGACCGCAGTCTCTGGTCATCTCCTGTACTGTGACTGCAGTCTCTGGTCAT